GGACTGTAGGCACAAGCACTTGAGTGTTGTACACTTAAAACAGGGGCTTGATAGGTTTGTCACTGCTGTGGCATACTGTGCATTACAGTTTAGCCCTGTTGCTCTAGTGCTCTGTGTGCCAAATGAAGGCATTAGCAGATTTGAGATCTACCAACCATCTGTGCCTGTTATCTGTTCATCTTCCAGTGGGAAAGAGCTATCAGTGCAGAACTGTAGTGGGATATGGTGGTTCTAGAAGGTCTCTGGGGTCTGCCTTGGTCATTCGAGGTAATGTGCCTCTCACATAGCATTTGCTGCTCACCCCTTCCTCCTGGAAAAATGTTTGAGTCTCTTGAGAAGTCTATTAATGTGAGAACTCATTGCAGTATCTTTTGTTAACTAGTTGGCCATGACCAGTGATACCCAGGAAGCTTCAGTGTGAATGAGAAACTTAATAATCCATGAAAGGGCTTTTTTTAATATCTATTTTTAATTTACATTACATTGAGTTAATAAATTAGGGGAAAAGGGTTTGTTATGGCTTTCTTCCTGGTGTTGGATTAGAATACACCAGCTGTGACACACCATTTACAGAGATGGCTGGAGTCATTGAATATCAGAGCTGGAAATTGTATTGACCCTATCAGTGCAATATACCTTTTGGAAGTCCTTGGGAGGGTTTCTTACATGTATTATAAGAGCTGCCTCACTGTGTTGCAGTAACAGGAACATGTGGAGACAAAATGATTGATTATTAGCCCTGGCGTTTGTAATTTGATCAGTGCAGCAAGTGTTAGCCAATAATGATTTGTTTTCTTTCCCTTACACCCTTATTGATGTTTCATTGTCTGAGTGTCTGAAATTCCAAATCTGGAATGTCCTGCTGTCAAGTCTAACTCTGCTTTATTTAACCCAAAGGCAAATCCTCAGTATAAAGCTGTAGGAATGAGGTCGGAACTGAGAGCAAATTCAACTCATTATGTTGCAAAACTGAAGCCTCTGTACTCTGCCAAATGCAAACACCAAAATAAATCATGACTGTCCTCTTGATTCTGAGTCTGGCACTGACAGAGTTTTCTCGGACAGTAGCTTTAGACATCTTGAGAACAGTGGCCTCTTTACAGGGTAAATTTGCAGAGTTTTCAGTAGTCACTCAGAGAGAAAATCAAAGGTGACAGGTTGCAATAATTTCTGTTTGGTGATACGGTGTGCGTGAGAGTATTGGCCAGTCAGTAAAGTTGGTTTACTCATTGTGTGTTTACCAGTCTAGGAGAGATTATGTCTTCTACTTGTGTTACCTTTCTGGGTACAGGGAACTTCTCTAAAATAAGTGCAGCCTCAAAAGAACAAATCTTTTTATTTAATTCAGTCAGTTTATATAATATTGTTGGTTGTTTCAAATAGCACCTCCTTTTAAATAAACTTGCAGGATTTATTGCCATGGAGGCAACTCAAACACTCAGAAGTGATTCTATAAACTGTTAAGTTTATAGACTAGAGCTCTGTGGCCAAACAGGCTCTGATGATTAACCTTGATCACTCTAGAATATTTCAAAGTTTTGCATTTTAGAGGCTTGAAAAGTTTGTGACTCCCCCCTGAGAATTTTGCCTTGGTTCTCATGCTGGGAGAAGTGTTTTTTCAGAAATTTTAGAAATAGCAAGGAATTTGTCTTTGCACTTAGAAGTTGTGAAATACATGGCAATTTTTTTTTAATTTGTGTGTATAACAAACTTTGTGAATACTTGGTTCTGTTTCTGTATGTGGATATGCTGTCTTAGTGCTTTGTAGCTGGATAGAGAGGAATTTTTAAAGGATTCAGAAGGGACAAACACAAATTAAATTACTGAGATAATTAATACTGCAGTATGTAAAACAACAAGGAGCATACCATTGTATGGAAGAACACTTATTGAAGCCATCAGTTGCCAAGATTTGTTTATTTTTCTTATTTTTAATCGCATAGAATCAGAACCTGGTTGTAGTATAAGGAATAAAGTGGGTCAGTTAAGGCAGAAAAAAAAGATAGCACAAAATAACTATGAAACTTGAAAGAAATGCTGTGATGCATGAGAAAATGTTTGTTTTGCCTTGGGTTTATGTCTTGGGTTTTTTTCCCCTAGAAACAGAGTTAGTTAACTTCCAGTCCCAGTCGGCTTTGATCTGTAAACAATTGCCTCAGGAACAAGCAGCTTACTCATGCTCTCCTGCAGAAATGTTGGATACTCCAGATTTGGCTGTTATTTGAGCTCCATCTGTGAATTTTGGGAAGCTAGAAAAACTGACTTTTCTTTGGGTGTTATCTAAAAAAAATGCTGTCTTAATTTTGTTCCTTGGAAATTGTGATCTACAACACCAATTCTTGTTTTGAAATCTCATAACTCCCCTTGATAGAACAGATCTTTAAGTCAGACTTAAAACATCCTAAAAGTTTATATAAATAGACATGTAGAAGTGACTAGGTAGATTTTTTTAGAAACTTTGTAACAAATCTAAAAGAGAACAGAAAACCAACCATATAGTAGCAGACTATGAATATTTCATATTTTATATCATTGTGGGCTGCTAGCTGTCCATGGAGGATTGTCATTACATCAGAATTTCTCACTCTTTAAATGGTGAGATCCTCCTCCCCTCTCCACCCTAATCTCAGTTCCTCTCTCTCCACTTGCTGAGCACAGAAAGCAGCCATGACTAGGGTTGCTATCTGCAGTACACATTATTTGTGTCTTGCTGTTGCTTTTTTCCATTCCTGAGCTTAAAAGGGGGGAAAGATTGTCTTCTCAGAGGTTAAACAAACCTCAGAGCACCTGACAGATCCTATGCCTTTGGCAGGCTTGTGCACTGAATCATACAGCTCAGAACTCATGGGAGCACTTAGGCTTCTGCCTGTGTTTGTGTATTAAATGCCTTTTTAGATTTGGCCCTGTATACTTTGCATTCCCAGTATTATATTTGAAACTGTAAATAATTAGAAACTAGATGGCATTTCACTGCCTCACTGGATATTGAGATGCACCTGTATACTGTGAAAATATCTAAGAGAGGTTAAAAAGTGCCTCACAGTGAACTACTATTAAAAATAGCTCTCCATATCTGAATCTCAGCTTATTTATTCATCTCAAATTTTTCTTTGAAGGTATCCTGGTATAAAAAACTGATGTATGTTTCAAAAAGGAGGAAGTAAAACTATTGTGACTTCTGTGTGTAAATATTTTCACATAATATAATATATAACTTTAATAGAAAATGATGAAACTTTCTCTATAATTCTAAAATTCAATATTATTAATATAAATATGTTATGGTAATAATAAGAGATTTGCAAGAAAGAGGAGTTCATTTGTTTCTAGGAGATGCTTGACCTCTGCTACTATATGATCTGTTAGAGCTAAGGCTCACAAAATTGGCTTTCTTTCTGTTTTACCTGGAAGGCATTATTTTTTCAATAAATACCAAAATCAAGTCAATATTTTTAGAACCAGGATAATTGCCACCTGAAATGGACTAATCTTTGCTCAGAAGTTGTCTGACACTTTATACCCAATGTCAACAGGAAAGAAATAACTAAGATGTATGATTTTGGTAATTGATAGGGAACATTTGAAAGGGTTACATAAATAATAGACTAATCAAAGTATTGTTTAACGGTTTACAAAAACACATGCCCTACTGCATGTACATTTATTTAAATTAATGTTGCTGTCATAATTTATGAGAAATTTTGAAAGAGGATTTCATTTTCACCTTATGGTTAATGGTCTCATAAATAATAATTTGTCAATTTATAGGATAATTTATACTATTAAATTGTTCAGCATAACTCTTTAAAACATTGGTGTGCATTTACTGTTCTGGACAATTACTCTGTGAATAAAACTGCAACTTTCAAATCTCATTTCCATCTCTGCCAAACCTTACTCTTAACTCATTTTCTGTTCTAAAGAGAATTAATGACATTAATAATCCAATGCTATGCAGAAGAGACCTGGGACTTTTCTTGTATATGCAGTATCATGCAGTATTTTTCTAAAGAAGATATTAATACATCAATGATAACTGATCAACGTATCTAAAAAATGAATGTAAAAAACCACCAAAACCAGCTCTTCCCCAAAAATCAAATACCTAAAAAATACATTCACAATTGAATTCTGGTTTTTTTTTTTTTCATTTAAGCACATGAAAGTTGTACTTGTTAATCATTTACTAAGTGTTGATATATCTTGTACACCAAAAAGGCTCAGTCTGATAGTTTGGGGCAGGACTAAATCTGCTTATAGGAATCTTCCATTTTTCCCCATTATTTTCTAAATATTGTATGATTATAATACAATATAACTTTAATATTGTATGATTATATGAAGGAAGAATTTACAATCTGAATATTTGAAATTAAAGAAAAGGTTGTATTTCCCTTGGATGGCAATTTGAACATGCTTTGTCGTCAGATCTACATGCAAACCAAAATACCCATTATGTGAACGATTTTGCATTTATTTGTGCCCATATCAGATTGTCACAACTGAGGCTGCCATTTACTTCTAAACAGTCCCATATATATATACTTTGGGTTCCACTGCAACTCATTGAAAGGTGCTGTGAGAGCCTGGTATCAGCAGAGTCCCTGCATGGAAAACAGCCACTCTTTTCAGCAGCAGTCACTATCATCTGCTAGGTTGTTCCTGGGCTGAGCTTCTCACGCTCTGTGTAGGATGGCTTTTTTTCTTCTTCTTTTCCTTCTACTTCAGGAAAGTAGGGCCCCTGCATGTGTTTAACCCCACATTTTTTTTCAGGATACTAATATTTCTCCTTTTAATTGACAGCAGTTTTACAGGAGAGTGTGTCCCAGATGTGATTGCTCTAAAATGAAAGAGCACTAGTGTTGGGCTTGAATGTTTCCCATCTAATTACGATTTGCCCCTTCATTTTATTTTGGAAGGTTTTTTTTTTTTTTTTCACTTGAGTATGGGGTTTCCAAATGATTCTGGTAATCCTGGATTTTTTTCCCTTGTTTTTACAGGTGACCTGTAACTGTTTCACCATCAGTAATGGAGAGATGCAGGATGTTGGTGTTGGCCTCTATCCCAGGTACTGTGGACACTGTTTCATTCACAGGCAAAGTCTATGTCAGTTTTTTTCCCCTTTTTTCCAAGGTAGCTGTAAGGACCATCAAAGCAGCAGGTAACATGTCTTAATGAGAAACTGGGAAATGGAAATAAATTAAAGAAGAGTAAAAAATACAATCTAGTTGAAAGCATTTTTAATAGTCCTTATTACAGCACTAAAACAGTTTAAATGGTATACATCTTTATATTTTATTTTTATGGAGGTGGTAGTCTTTTTTAAGTAAGAATTAATGCTGACATCAAGAATGTGCAACTGGGACAAATAAAGGAAACCTGTTCAATGATACTTTAGAATACAGATATTTTGCAGCTGAGAGCCTTCAGAATTAGTGATTTAAAGAAAAAGATTGATATATTTATAAGTAAATAACCATAACAAAGAAACCAGTAAGGTGAAAAGATAAGTCCCTTAAGAGATAGATGTTACTATTTCAATTTCTTATTATTGTTTCTTATTTGTATTAGGAAAGAAGTATGTACCAATGAAGGTTTTATCTTCCTAGAATTAGTAACCTGTAATCATAAATATGGAAAATTAGTATGTCGTTTAGAAGTATGTTGTACCATCTAATTTTTTTGTTAATGCATGGTTGAATTATGTTTGTCAGTCCCTCAGTTGGCCTGTCACTGCTGTTTCTTTTCCTTCTAATGCCATATGTAAGATTTAAATAAGGACACTTAATATCTTGAGGTCAGCCTTGTAGTAAAGATGAAGAAAAGGTAGTTAGGAGGACATGGGAATTAGTGTCATGAAGAGTGCAACAGTCATTTGATTTCATAACAGACTGAAAACAATAGTTGAGGAAAATGAAAATTTATTTTTGAGCATTATTATTAGGGAAATGCTTGCTTTTGGTTGAAAAAAGCCCTTAACTGTGAAGTATCTGTCTATGTTCAATGATGATTCACTGCCAAGGGATGCCAGAGACTCTTTTCCAGGTCACTTCAGAGCAGTTTGAGTTTTGTTATAGCAAAACAGCTGGAAAAATTGAGAACTTTAAATCTGTGGTTTACAAGTCCTGGCCAAATATCCTCCCAGATGAGTTCATATTCTTCCAGAGGAAATTGTCATCAAACCCACTAGTGTCTTCATGAGACGAGATTTAATTAAAAGTTCTTTATTAAGCCTTATTAAGAGGTTGTATATTGTTGTATGGCTTGATAGCTTCAGCATCACAAAATATTTTGAAATAGGTAAAATCCTATGGTCCTGCTGTGTCTCACATTGTGAGCAGCTTTGAGAATGTGCCCAGTGCTCTCACAGTAAGTGTAATGGACACTCTCCCAGTGGGTTCTTGAAGAGATTACCCACAGATATTTTATTAGGCCAGAAGGCATACCAAAAGAGTCAGACCCCTGCTGATACCTCCTGTAAGAGTCAAAAAACTAAATAAACATGGTTTGGTGCAGGGCTCTGACCCTTGGCAACATCCTCTATTTTACCACCATCAGCTGGGATTTTGAGTAGCTGAATCAGACAAGGACAGAATATAAATGCAGCTAGGAGCTGGATAAGCCAAAAATTCTTCTTCCATCCTGATAATGCCAGAATTATTCTTTCAATGGGTCATTCCCATAGGGAAAAAACCATCAACCCCATTTCTGCTACAGCAAAAATATTTGCCAGGCAAAGTCAGTTCTTTCTCAGCTAAGGAAACTCGTGATTCAGAAGTGTATGGGAGATGTTGTAAGCAGCCTCCTTCAGAGAGAGGGAAGGGTGTGCTTGTGTAGTGTTTATGTCTCTTGAGGGTGCCAGCAGCTCCCTAATGAGCTGTGCTGCCCCAGCTGTCACATGCCACAAGAACAGAGGCTGGGCCAAAATATGCATGAAAACAGAGCCAATGGCCATGTTTCTTCTTTCAACTCTATACACCAACTTCTTTGGCTTTGGGACATAGTATACTCCATTTTCTCCTGATAGGAAATACATGTCGATTGCTGGCCCCTTTGAGCTGTGCTTGCAATGACAGTCAGGTAATGGATAAGGTTAGTGCCCTGAAACTGAGCAGAAGCAGCAGAAATAGAACTCAGTCCCTCTTGCCAAGGGAAGCACTGTCAAGGTAACAAGGGAAGTGCCAGGGTAACAAGGTCACCTTGCTCCCCCCTTGCCCAGTCCCCTGGATCAGGACTCCAGGAGAGGCACTGGGAGGCCATTGCCTTCCTCCTGCCCTGAATACACAAAAGGCAGAAACATTTGAAGAGATCCTGGCACGGCTCCTATTACCAAGGAATATAAATCTTCTAAGCCTTCATTTTCCTCCCCTAACCAGGAGCAGCTGATTTAACAGGGAATTTCTTTGTTTCGTGATTCAATTGCTTGATACTTCAGATATAATCATGTTAGCTACTTTCAAATTATTAAAGGGAAATGGCAGTGGAGACTCCTCTGTTAAGTTTTTTTTCTTTCTTTTACGCCTCACAGCATGTCTTTACTGAACCACAGCTGTGACCCAAACTGCGTGATCGTTTTTGAAGGATACCAGCTTTTACTTCACTCTGTCCGAGAGATCCAGATTGGTGAAGAGGTAATTAACTTGTCCTCCCTTCCATCACAGACACCTGCAACAATGACATCTCCCTAAATAAATTCCAGACTGCTGGGCCACCAGCTTAATATTTTGATGATATATTGATGCCACTTTCTAGCACATAGCTATCAGGAGGAAAATGATAAATAGAATCATCTCTTCACACTGCCTGGGCCCCGTAATCATTACTTCTCATAAATCACGAGCAGTCTTGATAAATTCCTGTTCCTCCTTTCCTCCTCTAGGCACTTCATTTTGTTTGTATTTGAGTGTCTTTACCCTGATGGGAACACTTACAGTATTTCTGAGTGGAATGCAGTGTTCCTTAAGTCATAGCAACAATAGCATTTGTCAGGCGGCAACCATGCAGTTGTAGTAAACCTTTCATTGACAGTGAAAGCAACAAAACAAGGTTTGTTTGCTTGTCCGTTTCACTAGGAAAGACTTCAAAATATCCTTTTCAAGAGATTTGTGATTTGATCCAAAGTATTCTCTACTTTTTTGTAAATAGCACTTGTATTAATTTGAAAATAAGCATTTGTGGATAGAAATAAAAAAAAAAAGTTTTGTAGCAATGCAGTACTGAATTTGCTTAATTCAGTAAGACCTGAAAAGTGTGCATATATGTAATTTCAGATGCATCAATGACCCACACAGTCCTAGCTGTTGGTCATTTCAAAATCATAACCTAATGCAAATATGATTCACACCTGTTCTTAAAACTCTGTGAATATGAAGACCATACTTATTTTGATTTAGACACGGTATTTATTTACGTGCCCATTAAGTTTTTTCTTTTTTAATGTATTCTTTCTCAAAGATAGTAGGGCATCAAAGTAAGTAAATGGTTGAAAATTTTTTTAGGCCATCAAAATAAGTAAGTGGTAGAATATTTTTTTCAGTGAAACTTTGTTAAGAAGCAACAGAAATGTTTTTGCATGCTTATGTTTTTGCCAAGAGAAATCTTTCAGGATGCAATATATGTTCGTGGTGCTATTAATTATTGACATTTTTCAGTTCAGCATTCTTGTTTAAGTGTTGTTATAGACACCTTCCTCCTATTTTATCCATAAACCATAACTTTCCTTATGGCTTCCCAGTTCACTAAGATGGGTTGCTTATTTAAAAATACAGTAGATTTTAATGAATTACCAGGAAGAAAATGGGTTTAAGGCTTAAGAGACAAAGTAAAGTAAAGTCAGTACAAGGTTAGATCTCTTATGGGAAGAGGAAAGGAAATAAAATTTTTGAAGGAAATAAAATTTTTGTGAGAGTATGTACAAGTCAGTAGTTCAATATTATTGTCAGTACCTATTTGCTTTTCCTTATACATAACTTCTACCTCTTTTCATTTTGTGTTCTGCATGTTGACCTTGATGCAACTTTCCACACTGCCTTTCTGCTTGCCTGCAGCAGGGTGAGCTCAGTTTAAGTGATAGCCAGGTATTGAATTTACAAACATATGTATGTGAAACTGTATCATCTGTTGTGAGCTGAGTTTTAACTTATATTACTGATGTCATGATCTGAGCTAATGAAGATACATGTCAGGGAGGAAACTGAGTGGGTTTCCTTAATAAATTGGGTGCTCTGAGATGGTAAGATGAACACTATTTCAAGTCATGAAGCAACAAGAAAATTATAATCACTAGAAATTTTCTCTTATCCTGTTCAAACTTACACTAGATGCAGACAGAATGAGATCCTCTATAAAATAATTAATAGAAATTAAACATTAAGATTTATCAGAAATAAGAAGCTAAGTAGCAAGTCAAGCTCAGATTAGTAGAAGAGGACTATTCCATCCATACAGGAACATATTTTTGCACATTTGTAGCACTTTCTGTCAGAGCACACTGCAGCAGTTTACTCACGCTAAGGAGTTTTTCACCACCTCTAATTGCAGGGAAAACAGAGACATAGGGAGCTGAGACGACTGGCCATTGTGGTCATCTCAGCATTCTGAACTTTGCTTCCAGAATCTCAGAACTAATTATAACCCCTTTTTGCTCCTCCAGATAATTACAGAATTACAGAATGTTTAGAGTTGGAAGGGACCTCAGAGATATCTGGTCCCTTGCTGTGGGCAGAGACACTTTCACTAGACCAGGTTGCTCGCAGATCCATCCAACCCAGCCTTGAACTCTACAAGGGAAGGAGCCCCACAACTTCTCTGTGCTGTTGACTATTACAGTTAGATGATGTTAATTTGACAGCATACAAAGATTTCCTGTACTTGCAGCTCTTCGCAAAAATGAAATTTAATTGCTGCAAAGGAAGGTGAGATATGGGGAAGGATTATTAAAAAGCAAAAATTATTTGTCTAGAGATCATGAGGACTCCTTTACTGGGAAAGTAGCCTATCACCTAGTTTTGTCAAAAAGACAAGCAGCCTACTCTTAAGAGGTCTTAATCATTTCCCTACCCTTAAGTAACCACTTCAAACAGCATCAAGATGTGTGCTATAATTTCAATTGACTTTTTATTAGTTGCTGAGTCTACCTGGTGTTTTGCAGGCAGACATGAGATGATTTCTCCTCCTCTCCAATCAGAAGTTGTATGGCTTCAAATCAATTACTCTTGCTGGGAGACAGAATGGATTAGCTGAGGTGCAGTTCTGCTCCAAAATGGGTTCTTTGCTTCTCACCAGCTTCAGAGTTCAGTTAGACCAAATTTGTATCTTTCTTCATAATATCATATAACTGACTGTACCTTAAGAGCAACATTTTTTTAAATACTGAAAACAAATAATGATTTCAGATGATGAGCAAATAAATCTATTTTCATCATAGATTTCAACCAATTATATAGTGTTTTTGTTACTGTAATTCTGTGAGAAGTTTTGTATCTGTGGATGCTTGACACATTACATTTTTTCCCATTTAAGCTTTTAGAAACAAATTTTTCCTTGAGTTAGGAGTTTTGCTGGTTTTGTGCCACTGCAGAAGGCCTTTTGATCTTATATGCCAAAACAGAAAGAGTGCAGACTGTTAAGCAGTTCTGTAACTCTGTCTCAGGAACAGATTTCTGTATACAACGCTCCCTAAGATTCTGAGACTCATGATTGCAAAACCAAGAAGATTCCCTTTTTTTTTTTCCCTGCCTCTAGCATTGAAATACTTGATTTTAAATTTTTACAGAATTTTCTGTCTAGAAATTTTGTGGCTTATATTCTGTTACAAAACAAACAAAAAAAACCCCAAACCAAAAAAACAAAAACCCAACAACAACAAAACCCCACATAAATTAAGTCCACTGCATCGTGGCAGTACTGGAAAATTGTGTCTACCTCAGCTGGAAGATGAGGAACTGAGAAACTAACCACCATATCCATGATTAAAGAATTTCTGTGTCAGAGCCAGAAGCAGGGCTCAGACAGTGCTGTATTTCTAAGGAGAGAGTCTTAAGAGTCAATAAGTCACATGGCTGTTAAATAATTCCTTGCCTTCATAAATGTTTTTAATATATATTCTCCAATTTGGGGGGAAAAGATTTATTGCATTCTTTATAAACGATGCAATAAAGAGGCAAGCTTTGGTCAGTTCAAGAAATGTTTTAATTAGTAGCATACATCCCATATGCATATACCATTAAGACAGCCTTTGATAAATGGGCATATTTTCTAAATATGTACAAGTTAAATGATCCTTGCATCTAATGAAGTGATCCAAAATTAAAGCAAGGACAGAAGAGAGACTTGAATACAGAAATTTTGTTTTTAAACAACTAAATTATTAGTATAGGCTCAGTCACTGTTAGGTTGATCATGTTTCTAAATATTCTAGTTACATTTTGCCTCTCAGTCTGCCAGCTACAAACATTTTTTCCCTAATGGATTTCTCCTGGCAGGGCTGGGAATTTGAACTTGGGCAGGGGAGACCCTAAGTTGTTAAAATGCTAAAAGGAGAGATAAATGTGATGAAGCTTCTTCTCCTCTTTCTGCCCAGTCATATGTTTTAATCCAGAGCATGTTGGTACCTGACTTTTCATATCCACAACTGTTTGGCAACCTCTGAAAAAGAAATGTTTTTTTTTAAACTTCTTCCTACCCCCAAGGTTTCTGCAACATAAATGAAAAAGGGGGGGTGGGAGGATGGAAACCAAAAATACAAAGAGCAAAAGGGATGAAGCCTGTAGGCTGGATAGGTGAGGTTTATTTGATGTTGGCTCTGTGTTTATTTTGCTGTATTATAACTAAACCCTGCCTAATGATGGTTTCATTACTAATGACAGGGTTTAAACCATTAACTTAAATATTCTGGCAAAGAGTAGACTAATTTCACACTATTTTTTCCCAGAAGATTCCTACTGTCTTGCACTGTGTCTGAACTTGGTTAAATCCTTTTTACTGTTGGATGTTACCTGAACCTAAAGCCCAGCAGGACATGAGTCAAAACCAGAGATGTTTATACAGAGGACAAGAGACAAGGAACAGCCAGTGTGTGAAATGATTTTGACAGAAAACACTTGTGAGTTGCAAGGAGACATGAAGATTGGGAGGCTTTTGATGGAGAGGGAAATTGGGTTTTGAATGTCTGAAGGATGAGGTTAGGACTGCAGCTTGGATGGAAAATGCTTTGTGGGAAGGAAGGGAGACAGATCTTTCTTACCGCACCAAGGGGGATTCAGATTAGGACCAGCTGTGGAAAGAAGTGAGGACAAAGTGGTTGGGGTCACTGAAGATGAGAAATCAGAGTAGGGCAACAAGGACTGTTAACTTGGGAAATCAAGTGAACACAGGGGGCAAAGGTGTGAGATAAGGCTAAAGGACAGATCTGAGGCTGGCACAAGGAAGAAATCATCCCATTGTATCAAAAGTGGCTATGCAAGGAGCTAGAATTTATGGCTAGAAAACAGGTTTAGGTAATCAGGTGTTGAGAATACAACAGGAAAATGATACTCATGTTGAGGAGTAGAGAAAAGAAAGAATAAGAGGGACATTGGAGATAATGGGGCAGAAGAGACAAAGCTTGGAAGAAAAGGATGGAAAATAAATAAGCAGCACAATTTCCATCCACTCACTGCAGAAAGATCAGAGGGAAGCCTAGGGCTCCCATGTAAAATATTAGTACAGACTGTTCTGCTGTGAGCCAGTAGTGGTGAAACTAATCCTCTCTTGGCTCAGACATGCACAAGCTGGGACAGAACAGCATTATCTAGAATTCTAAACCTAACAAAGTTCTCACACTTGCTAACTTTTGATTAATTGTGGAATTTTAATTTGTCTCTTTCATTAATTATACAATTAATCTTCAATTATGAGGCCGTATTTATTTTAAATGCTTGACTTTGCCATCTCAGTAGACTTCTTTTAACACAGTTCTCCTTCAATATGTAATCAAATTACACTGTAATAATAAATGAAAAAAATGCAGGCATTGTTTCAGTTGCTTGTTAATTGCTCATTCAATTAGAAAGCTCAGTAATTTGCAAAAATGCAGGTTCTGACAATGGATTTCATGGTCATTACTAAAATTGGTCAGGTTTTCCTGTAATTTCTTTGAATGGACTCTCATGATTTAACTGAAAACCATGTGAAAATTCTCCCAATTAGTTGAAGTGTCTAGGCTCAGGATGAAATAATGTGACCTGATTTTTTTTCAGCTCTGACCCCCTCTGGAGTGTTTCAAAGTGTGTTGGGCGTATAGTGTAATCACTGAATAACATGTGACTGTATACTGGTCTGAACTGAGCTGTTTTTTTGTTATATCCTTTTCCTTATCATTAGTTTGTGCCTGTGGAGCACTTTAAACATTTCAAGAACTCTACAAATGGTTAGTCCTGTAAAATTCTTTCTGGCAGGCATTAAAGTGAACAAACTACAGACTTCTCTGTAGCTCATTGGAATTCACTCTGTACAGTGTAAGAAGTTGAAAAATGGCACAAATTTAGGCACAAATTTTCTTTTATCATTTTAATAAATCTTCTTGTCAGTAGTTTCAACAACTTAGACTGCAATGCTTTTGTGCTTCCTTGGTCACAAGGGAAACATCACAGATACACTGAAAATGGGTATAGCATAAGAGGAATTCTCCCCAGGCTTAAACATATATTTGCAAGAAAGTAGGGGCTTCCCTGAGAAAAAAAAAATTGGAGATAGTTGGATATTGTATAACACTAGTGGTAAATTACTCTTAAGCTCTGGAGCTGGACAGAAAATGAGATTTCATGCACAAGGGATTCAGAAGCTTTATGCATAGCTTCTTTGCTATCTTTTCTTACTCTCCTTTCTTTTCTTTTTCTTACAAATAAGGATTAAAAGTTGAAATAGTGATAATTATGGGTGGAATTAATAATTTCAAACAATATTGATCTTGAAATGTGAAAAAGTGTTCTTCCATGGAAATTATTTTGCTCTTTTTCTCACCTTCTGTTGAAGTAGTCAATTTCTTCTAAAAAATAATTTATTAGCTTTTTATTTTATGCTGGGAAAATGTTATATGCAAAAAATGTTGCCTCTGCTAATACATGCACAGAATATGGATTTTTTTGTAAAATATACCAACTCTTTTTTTTTTATGTACAGCTCACCATCAGCTATGTTGAATCACTGGTGCCTACCAGGGAACGCCAGAAGCAGCTGATGCGCCAGTATTGCTTCGAATGTGATTGTCCACTCTGCCAGAACAAAGAGAAGGTAGGTTGGGAGAAGAAATTCCTTGCTAGTGAAACAGAATTTTTTAAGGCCTGTCAGCAGCTTTCCTTCCTTATTGTAATACTTATCTTTTGCTACTAATTGAATGGCCAGAAGAGGGGAGAAAATTGCCTCTGCCCTCATTGCGGTTTTTGTTGCTGTGAAAGACAACTCTGAATGAAAGAAAAGCAGAAAATGTTGGCATTTTTCTATTCAAAAGAGTTATCTTGGAACTTCAACTGAAGCCACTTGTCTGATTACAGGAAGGTTGTGCTTATCCTCAAAATAACGTTGAATTAATTTTGCCAAACATCTGCATCACTAATTTTCAAGAACTATCAAGCTTGTTCAGGAGTTGTTAGAGAGAATGGTGAACATCCTTGGGCGACTTTGTACTTTTTATGCTCACTTTCATCCCAAGTTCTTGGAGTAGCAGGTCAGTGGTTGTAGCAGATAAACTTTTGTTGAGTGTGATCTCTTACTAGGGTTCAGCCTAGCCTCATTTGATTATATTCTGGTTTTCTTCATATTTATGCAACCTTGGGACACTAAATTTGCCTCAGAGCCTGATGAGAGATTAAATGGAATAGGCAAAATGAGGCTGGCTTTATAGCAGCTTTTATGCACTTAGCCTCTTTTGTTATATGTACAGTTGCTCTTATTTTCACAAATGCTTGTTTGGAGTGAGTCACCTGCCATAGCTAAATGTGTTCCTGTAAGATTAGAAATAGTAAAAAGGTATTGATGAAAATGTAATTCCAAAGAGCATAATATGATTCATGAAATAATAGCTGCACAGAAAACAAAAACAGAAAAAGAAACCCCCAAAGTTTAAACTACAACATATGCTTTGAGTCATCGGTAGGCAGTTCAAAAAAGAGAACACAGAAAATTTCAGGCTTATGACATAATGCTAAATTACTTCCTGTCTGTGTTTGCATTCTGTGCCTAATAAAAGCTGCTGCAATTCTACTCAGAGGCAGTGAAGTGAAGACCTCTTTTTATCTTTCTTTTAAAGATGGTCACTCAAGTGCCATGAAATCTTTGATTAGTTTTAGGTAAATGGCATCTTCACAGATGCAATGATGATTAAGAAAAATAAGCAGGCTAAAGAGTCATCAAGGATCACTTAACAGTTTGTGAAAGGGTAGGCAAGTGGTATAAAGACCATTCAGCATGTGGAATGTTTTAGGAAATAATATCTCCAGGCTGTATATGGTGTATATGTCATTGTAAGAATCAACATATAACATCAAAAATACTGTAGTGAAATTATATGTGCATATATTAATGAAAGCAATACTCTCATACATAGGTTAAAATTATTAATTAATTTTTTTTAATATTATTTTCGTTTGTGTTCATAGCCTATAGATCTTTGTTTTGCCCTTTCACAAAATTTCCCAGGGAATGATACTGTGAAATGTTTGGAAAGCTCTTTGTGACTGAATTCTGGAATTCTGTGCTTGTTGATTGTTACCATGTTAAGAGGTCTGTGAAGGTCTAGAAGCATCATGGCAGCTTGATCTGTTAATGTCTATGAAGAGGACATCTTTATCCTCAGCTTCACTTTAGGGTGACTAAATGTTATCTGCAGCAGTCCTCATAGTATTGTGTTTCATTCCTCTGTGACGACTGAATTTGTAAAATCTCTACATGACTAGCTTGATTTGGGTTTCTTTTCCATTTATCTTAGTCACTGCTAGTAAGCTGGGAGTCATGTAACATTGCAGGTACAGCAGGAGATAATATTTTTGGTAACTCTGGGGTTTTAAACTACAAAATGTCTAGATTTAGATGCTTAAAGTTGATAAAATCATTCAAAACATCCCTGCTGAAATATCCCTAATACTGAGACAAATTTCCAAGTTATCTTAGAAAATTTTTAAAAAGCAAAATCTTTCTGAATAGAATAGGCAACAGCTTTAACTTTGGATCATCAAGAGTGGCAGAATCAATATTGTGAACCAATATAGTCAGCTAAAAGTAAATTCCCATATTGCAACATTGCTTTGCAGAAAAAAAAAAGATAGTTTAGTCAACAGCAATTCATCTCATGTATCTTTCTTATAGGTAAAAATGCAAATTCCAGAAATGCTTTATCCATTCAAGCAAGTTCTTGTGTGTTGGGGAATTTTTTTCAGTTGCAGTCATCTCATACAAAAAGTTAGAACCCTTTTTGAAATCACATTTATAGACACTTACATGAACACTTATAGAACTTGTGTTACTCCAGTCTTGCTGAGTATGCTTGTGAGCTGCTGAACACATACTCGGTACTAGTGAAAGCTCTCAAGATGCACACATCAATTTATAGTAAAGTTTTAAGTCAAGTGATTTGCACTGTAGCTTTTATTCTACATCTTTTGTGATGTTTTAAAAGTGATCCTGCAAATCCCCTGGGAAATATGTTACAAGTTTATATGAAGAGCCCATAAACCTTATGTTTATTTGTACTTAGTTACATGCATCCTTATTTATTCATATTTATAAAAACACTTGGCAAGATAATTATCAATGAAATTTATGTTTCCTGCTGTATTTTTAAAGGCTTGTTCATTTAGTGTTAAATGCCTGAGTGAAAAAGGAAGATGGTATCAACTTTCTGTTCTCAAGTCAGCTACTGACTGCTAGTGACCTTGGGAAATTTGTTTTATTCAAGACCAACTTTTGTGTTTTCTAAGATCCAACCCTTATTTTTCATAACTGGTTGGAAGCCACCATTTCAATTGGAGCTCACCAGGTTTTTGACTAGAAAACAGATCAGACTGTTTTGGGGATAATTTTTGTGAATGTTCTGTGGAGCTGTGGTTTGTTCAGTCTAAAAATGCAGTGAGAAGAATAATTTATACGTAATTTATACTTCTGCTGAGTTTTCTGGTGCCCAAAGGATAATGAAGAAAGGTGCTGTGTTTTCTAAGGTATTTTAGCTTTATATGATGGATTTTTTAAAATGAAAATAATTCCTTGAAGCAGAATGGTTTGGGGTTTGTGTGCTTTCTGCCTCCCTCATAGCAAGAGCAAAGACAAGCAGTTCATTCATACTGTCTTCTGTAGAAATCCATGAAATTTGGAATGGATAAAAGAGGTTAAAGGAATGCCTTGAAGTAAATTGCCCACTCTTTAGACAGATAAAATTTGATGAGAAAAATTATGCTGCTCCATGAAATATATATAAACACAAAATCAAGACTGACACAGTTACATTTCTATGCTAGCTGACATGGATAACCAGAGTGCTGTTACAACACTGCCTAGATGTACACAGTTCCCTTGCACAATTGTCAGGATTTGAGACTCTAATATCTCAGATATCTGAGATAGACAAAGGCTACATTTTCAATATCATGAAAGGGGCTGCAGCCCAACCACAGGGACCCTTGCTGAAGGCAAAGTTACTGAAGTTTAGCATCAACTGATGCACACTGGCACTCACCAGACCAAGGGAAGGGTTCCATGGTTGAGCAGTCACAGTGGCACTGCATGCAAAACCAGAGGGAAAATGACCGGTTCCTCACTGGTCACTGCTGGTGAAAGGACTCCAAAGTGAATCTTTGCTATACAGTAGTAGTTCTTTATCTTCCTCTCCAGCTGTGAGCACAGCCACGGAATAATCTAGGTGCATAGCTGCTATCAAGGATGAGAAAACACAGAAGCAAACAGTGGCAATAGCTGAGCTGGGAATCTTAAATAATTTTTGTGCCTGAGCCTCAATGTGAGCTGCATTTTAATTCTAAGGACGTACTATAATGCTGGCCAGTGTCTTTTAGCAGCAGCTGGTCAAGCAGCCTGGCAAGTACAAATACACCACTGTAAGCTGGTTAAGATAAGATTGAGGTGAATGTTTTGGTGGTTCAATTCCTGAGTAATTAAATGGCACTAACTACAAATCTAAACAAGACTTTTGTCCAAAGCTAGAAAAAACAAATCAGGAACTAGAAGAGGGGTAAAAACCATATCTTCCTAAAAGTCACTCATAGAATACGTCCTATCTGTCAATACTTTAAGTTATAGCTACTGTATTGTCTTCAGTTCATTGTATCTTTGACAGCTTTACACATTATTCTTTGCTCCATTTTAAGATCAATCTCGACTGTAATTCAGGAATGTGTGCCAAACTGAACTCTTGGCAACATATTACTATTCCAGCACATAAAAGCCCCTTCCATTAATTATAATTAAAGATGGGTTTACATTGATGACAAACATTTTAAATGAAGAACAGTTTTTTCCACAGTCATGAGCCAGAGAATTGTTCACATTGTACATCTTCAGCCAAGGATTTCAGGGACATTTGTGCTTACTGAATGGTTTTGTTATGAGTCGGGTTTCTTTTGTGGAGCCGAGATTTAATATTTTAGTCTAGCTTGGTTTTTGGAAAGCTTTTATTTATTACAAGGTCAAAAGCAATGGACTTGACTCTGAATCATTTTTATATTTGGTCAGTGTTTGAGTTGCCAAAGTTAATAACAACATAATGCCAGTAAGCATGTTATTCCTTTAATCATTTCTTTTGCTTTGAAAAAAGTACTTACTTATATTGCAGCTTGAATTTTGGTAGAGAACATCACAAGTCCATTTCCAACTCAAGGGCTCTCAAAATAAGGTCACCTGAACAGCAACCAAGCTATCAACCTCTACATAAAAACACCACCTACAATTCTTTACCTGTTATTACATAAATCCACCAGCTCTGTTATAAACCCACAACCCCCCAAAATAAATTCCTGAACCTGAAGTTTTGACATTATTTTTGTAGCAGAGGGAACAACTGTAGTTTAGAACTTCATCAAATGTAAGTAAATTGATCAAATTAGTTGCTGCAGCATATCTGTGGTTGATTTGCCTCACCAGGTTTCCTGAAAGAGACTTGAATATGACCAAAGATACATTATACAACATTTTCACCTTTGATCTTAGTGTTTGTTCTCAGCAATACCTTTGAAGAATATGTGGTTAAATTACACAGACATTGTTAGATGAAGAGTATTATTATTGACTGT